CTAAAGACCGATATAACTTTTGGAATAGCTGCAATCTTCTCAAGCTTTGTCAACACATGTGATATCTGAATATTTGACCTAAATTTTAACGTCAGATTTGTCAAATTTAATTTGTGATTTTATAGAACGAAATATACGCTAAAAATACGTTAAAAATACGCTAAATAACTCTTCCTCAATCATTTCTCGAATTAAACTTTCAGAACAACAGAGCGCACATTGCATTCTAAAATAATTTATTTTTATCAAATTGTTTTACCGATAATTTTTAAATAACTTAAAAATCTAGAAATTAAAGATTTACAATTAGTTAAAACAATGCTTAACAGCAAACGGTTAAAGAGTTGCAAAAATTACTAAAAAAATTTTAAATTTATAAAAAATATAAAAGGTAAAAGAAAAAACAGACGGATAGTACAAGTATCTCATATGCTTCCGTGATAAATGACCGTCATTTCACCAACTAACGTGCATGCCTTCGGGAGCAGAAATCACTGTACTTGCACAAGCAGCGAGTGATTGCAATCAGGCGAGAAAGGATAGATTGCCGGCCACCTCGACTTACTCAATTAATTATTTTAATTTGATTAAGATTTATCCTGATGTGGCGGTTCACTCGCTTGCGTTTTGTTCGCTTCTATCTACGGAATATCGCCTTCGAATTGGCCAGTTCGCTCGGTCTGTCTCTTAAACTTAATTACGAGTTGGATCTCTGGCTTTTCTCTCTCCCTTATTCCTTTCTTTCTCCCTTCCGCGCGCTCGGTTCCATCTGTGTCGGTTCACCTCCTGCCTTCTGCCGTCTGCTGAGATACTTCCGCGGAATTATCTCAGAGTCGGTGGGTGCACACGTGAATGTTGCATATATTGCATTCGATTTCGTTCAGTGGCGCATTTCCTTCTCGATAAAGTCCTACCAATATCCGATTGTGGTATGAGGCATATATTGCGTATAAATAAATCGAACGAAGATGTATCTTTTAGCGGAAGAGCGTTTGATTCCGGAGAATGCTTACGAGAGATCCGTGGATGAATAATCTCGCATTGGCATTTGCCTCGTGAGAGAGAAAGAGAGAGAGAGAGAGAGAGAAGGGAACGTTGAACTTATCGATCGTATTTTCTCGACCTGTGAAGTGGCGATTCGGCCATCGAGGGACTTTTAATTGCAGGATGTCAAACGTGAACGCGCTATTAACCGAAACGCGATCAAGCCGCAGCGCAGCAGCGGCTCTGCTCTCTAATTAATTCTTCGTAGGTCTTTCTTTCTTCCGCCGATGGTATGCGCGTAATATTCGAATTCATGGCTCTCTCTCGCTCAATGAAATATTTTTTGCGCTCGATAACCGCGATTTTCATTCGGATAAACTGTCTCTCTTGATTGCTGATTGAGGGAAATCGCCTGATAAATCGAGCAGCGAGTGACATATAATAATCCGTATTATCTATATTGAACTCTGAAACCGCATAAATAGAGAACTTGAAAGTCACTACGTTATTTATTTCTTCATCTTTCTCTCCTGTCCTCTTGAGAATTGCATTTAACGCACTATTGCGTTACTCCATTCTTACTAAATTTTCCACGCGCAATTTCGCTGTGATACTTGCCATTACGAAGATTCGCGCGGAATGCAATACGATCATCTTGTAATAGCGCGCCGCGAACAGGAGACTCGCCGCATCGAACTCTAAGTATAGCAATTGGGCCGATCGCGTCCCCTCCCCGCGTCATCGTTAATTAAATCGAGCCCGGTGATTCAGGAGGGACGACCTTTCGCTCGCGGGGACAGGCCGTTTGCGTACAGTCTCTCGTTCATAGCTCTCGGATGGTTCTGCCAGCCAACATTCGAGTGCGCGCCGAATAATTGCTTTATGCACGTTCGACGGTCGATGCGCAAATTTCTCATCACATTCTAACGGCTGCAACGCCGGTCGGCATATTGATCATGTCTCGCCGTTAGGCGTCCAAATTTTCGCCTCGTCGGCATCGCTTTCGAAATCAAGAAGCAAAAGATATACATTTATTATGCATTCGAAAATTTGCGATTTATTAAAACTATTCAATTTTTAAGTAATCTAAAATTAATAATCCCCCCTTTACATTAATAACTTTGAGTTTTTATCGTCAAAAATTTGAAAACATTATGTAATCATTAAGAACAGTTGAAAAAACAAAGGGCATATAAATGATGTAAGAATATAGTGAAACTCGATAAAATGAAACTCAATATTATAAACTGATTTTTACACGCAACAAACATTGGTAAATTTAATCGTGATTTAATCGCGACAAATAGAATGTGAAAAATGTGAGTGTAAAATTGCAAAAATTTCACTGTGCTCTACGCTAAAATTAAATAATTTTTTACACGCGCCTGCATCTCGATCGTGCAATATCGCGTAACAGGTTGCTTTGCAGTCGGTGCATGTGCACTCGCATATGTAACAGGTATGCATCATTCGAACGGCAAATTTGAATGTAATATGAAAGCCCGGCATCGCGGCGCATTATTTTATTCCGCGAATTAAACACGGTCCATTAACGACGTGCGCATTCGCTCATGCTCGCGTAGCGGAAAATCATCAGACTGCCGGAAGTTCACTGAAACGGTTTTAGCGAAGGTTCGCCGACCTTTATTTCGCGCGAAGCATATTGTGTACTTATCGGCGGGAAATTGCATGGGAAAAGCGTTGCGACGCGCAATGATTTTCGCATTCGATCGCGCCGCATTCGAGGCGCCTTTTTATATCGACGCTTCGTTCGCGCTTGCTGCATTCACATTTCGCTTCAAATGCACGTTACTAAACATTGATACGAACAAATCGAAGACGATTACGGGTGGAATGAGATAGCGTCGTAAATATCCTGCTTCTTTTCCTATTTTCTGTTGTATCGGTGTTTTACTTTCGGATTTTGACGTATTTGCTTATTTCGTTCGTTCGTCATTTTAGAAGCTCGATTAATTATCATGATTATGGACATTAGAGATTACAAAAAAGGTTACAAAATTAGTAAAAAATTTATTTTAATACACGGTATTAGTTTTCGGTTAATAACTTATTAGAGAACTTTAAGAGGATTTCTGTGAATATGTTTTAGAGATATAGATTGACAAAATTACACTTGCAGTGAATTATGAATAGAAAATATATCTGTTCTCTGATCTTTACCGAGAAAATTTCACGTTTAATATCGTAGAGACTTTTATAGCCAGTTTAATAAATCAACTGCTATTTCAAATATCAGTAAATACTTGTAAATTTTAGCATTATTTGATAATTATTGATATTAGTCAACTTAAAGAAGATTAAAAAATATTCGACTTCTCCAAATTTGAAATGTTTTATCGTAATTTCATAGAATATTAACATTTTATAATAATATGATTTATATTTTTTTTCAATAAAAGCAGTGCAACTCCAATTTCTCGATTATTGTTGCTTTTTTGATTATTTTTGATTATTGAATAACAAGATGTAAATAACTGTCACCCGTTTCTCCCGCAGTCCGTCACACGGGTTATATATTGGTTCCGGTTAGGGGTAAAACCCTCTGGCCTACTTCGGATACATAACCGTGAAATGATTCGGCGGCGGACTCGGCCACCAGGCCACTACGACCTGGCACGATAAATCTTGTCCGTCAGTCAATCGGTCAATCGATGAACCGACCGATCAACCCATCCATCTATCTAAACTCGAACATCCGAGCATATACGCACGAATGCACACACGCACGCGTTTATACACTAGCGCTTACAGCTCGTCGTCGGAAGTGATTCCAGGTCGGCGTTCCGCGTCGGCGATGTAGTTCATAAATTCCCGAATTTAAGCGAGCGACGGCCGTCATAAACGCCACGGCGGTGGCGGCCGCAGACGAAGACGTTAAAAATCGTAACTTCTCAGAGAGTTAAAATAAACAAACGGAGAGAGCAACGAGAGAGACAAGAGGGCCGCGGTGGAAGGACAGGCCGCGGCGGCTGCGACCACCCGTGCGCGCCGATCTGGAATCGTGTGAGGATCTTCCTCCGGGAGTAAACAAATCAATTCCAGCCCGGGACACGTTTATGCCCCCGATCGTAAATTATCATTAAGGTGATTGCCTGCGCACATATGTACGCGCGCCCGCGCGCGTACAGCGGGCTGCACCAAGCGATTCTCTGTATGCAAGAGAAGAAAATTCATCGGGTGACGAGCGTCATCATCGCTCCACGGCGGTAGTTTAAATGCCATCGCGTCTGATCCTTGCGTCTTGCTCTCGATTCACATTACGAGAAGCACTTATGTAGAAGAAATTGTGTTTGGTGTGCGGGATTTCTCATACAAGAGACTTAGATGCAAAACTGACATTTCTTAACATCATTTTCTTAACATTGAATTATACAGGATATTGCCGCAATCTGTAAATTAAGAGAAAGAAGACCGTATAAAAATTAAATGTAATTAAATTAAGTTTAAGTAAAAAATCCAGTAAATTCTATATTTTTCTTGCAGTTTTTTACCCGTGTTTTAAAATGGGAAATTTTGAATTTTTTGCATCTAGACCTCTCATATGTTTTCCACAATATTTCACAATATCCTAAAATAGTTTTAAATAGAAGCAGCACGCGCAAAGAAAATTATCGGAAGAATTACGTCGTCATTACTTAGCGCGATCGTTATTACTGTCGTCTTCTGACAGAAATATGATTTATTATGAAATGTGCAAACTTGATTAAGCTGCAGAAGCAGCTTTTCGATAAACTTGTTTTCATATTTTTAATTAGAAATTCAATTTTCCTATTACAATGGTATTTCGATAAGAATTATAATTTCTGTATTTCTCGGTTTTATTTCTTTTAAAAGAGAAAAGCAATCGCTTCAGCTGACAACATCGTTAGTCGAGTTCTAAAAAGAATGTTCGCGCAGAGCTGAGTCGGTATTGATCTAAAAGCAGCGTTCTAGATTTCGCTTGCATACATTTATCGATGTTACTGTTTTGATGTCCGTGTTTTCTAATGTTACAGGTGGTTTCAGAACGCGGAGTCGTTGCGGCGTAGCGGCGGTGGTAAGTTGAAAACGTATGATAATTTCGTTGGTAATATTAATTTCCGGAATTATCTTTGATAAAATAATTAAGAATAGATAGCGGCGGCTTTGGTTTACATGGCGAGCGCGATCTCTCCGTTCGCAGGTTAGCCGTGCGCCGGTTCTCCCGGAGAAATAATGGAATAATGGTCACCGCGGTTTTACTGTGAATTGTTTTTCCTCGCGTAGCTTCGCGTACATATTATTATGCCGCGTGTACGCGTGCCGACTTAAAGACGAAAAGAAAACTCCGTCTGCAATTTCCCAAGCATCCTGTTGCTTCTTGGCGTCGGAAATTAAAGTGAGCGTGTGCATGAAGCTAATAAGCAACGTAAAACAAGATGCGACGTGTCGCGCATGATGCGAATGTATCATCAGCGGTTCCCAAAGCGCAACCGATTCGTCTCGTATGTATTCATGGCACAATATTGATCCAGATAGGATTTGCATAAAAAGGATTTATATAAAATAGCAGATAGATGGGAGACTTTTGAGACATTTTTCATAACAAAAGTAAAACGGAAGAAAATAACATATAAATTAGGAACTTTATCCAGGGGAAGGATGTGTGCAATATTACTTTAGAAAGAGTTAAAAGTTTAAAAACCTCCTGCATCTTTTAAGAAAGACATTATGGCAGACGTATAACGGTATAAGTTAGAAATATATCTTTGAGAATAATGTTGGAACTTGGCGAGTGAAAAATAGAATCATATAAATTCTTTACATTTTATATTATTTCGTATATAAAATTTTGTGGATATACCTTTTACAAACTGTATTGCAAGAGACTTGGAAAGCCACGAACTGTTACAAAAGTTGCGAAAAGACAAAAGAAAAAAAAAAACAATTACAAAGGAAAAAGTGATTTAGCACACAATTGAACAATTATTAGTACGACAGCAACAATACGCGTTCTTTTATTTAGCTGACAGCAGACCGATTAAAATTCCCTTCAAATCTTGATCGTACGGCGCACGTATCGAATCTGAAAGTTTCGATATTCTTCGGTCGGGCAATCTTAAGTTTTAATCCAGTTAGAATACGGGACCCATTATTCCAGCCGCGTAATGAAATGCGGATTGGAACGAGGAGATGAGAACGTTGTCGTCGTCGTCGTCGCCGGCGTCGGCAATGGATGCCGAAGACGTCCCACGTAGAGAAGCGGAACGTTACAACCATAAGCCGGTAATCGATTTAGTGGTACTTAAGTCGGAAGCCCTCGAGTGCGAGTGCGAGTGCCTGCCGGTTATCGAGGCGAGGCATTAAAGTTTAGCGAGGCGAGTGTGCTTGCTTGAGATCGCATCGCGAATGCGTTTGTCTAACGTTCAATTAGACGACTTTGAAAGATTATTCGAAGAAACAACCGAGGAGAAACCACCATCTAGCTCTAATTCGCACGATGAAATAAAGATAGTGATGTGATCTTAATTTTCGAAATATTCATTAGGAGTGCATAATTATAGAAGCTTATGAGGTATAAGCATTAATGAAATTATCGCGGCGCGCAAAGTCGTCCTTTATCGCGTTGCGTGTGATCGATTGCGGAAAATGCGCGTTAGATTTTCTTTTTCCCGCTACGAAAAAGTCGATAAAAAGAGATTAATTGCAGCCGGCCGATGAACTAATAACGCAAAGAACTTCGATTAAATTGCAATTATATTATTAGAAGATAAATATTATATCAGGAAATCGTAAGAATCGTAAGAAATGAAATTCACAATCAAACAGATAAAAAGCGCTATTAAATCTTCAATATATTGAAATAATATTATTTAGACCAATTACGATTTTATATCACTAACGTATTCAATTACTGATTGTAAACTGCAGAGAACTTTATCATAAAAAACGGTATTTAGTTATACAATAATGTCGATGAATTCAATATTCTCTCATGAAAGACACAAAGAATATAATAGCGCGTATTGTATTAGAATTTATTTTAATGCGAACAATATAAGCTACACAGAAATGAAGGAATGAAATTTCTACTTCCACATTTTTACAGACATTACAATAATTCAAAATATCAACTCGAAGACAGTATAATTTCAAGATTGCGAGCGCACGGCATTTTGTCAGATCAACGCGAACGTGAGGAGTGGAAGCGGATCCACTCGACTGTGAGAGGATATGCGATGTCTGCGACAGTAATCCCAGCATTCGTTTGTTCCCCAAAGAAACTTCGTTTACTCCGTAAGAATATCCGCGAGAATAGATCTACCGTCTCCGTGAGCCCTCGCAGTCACGGGTGATACAGTGTCACGGACTGCGTCACGTCGACCGGGCTTTTTTTCTATCCGCGCCCTTTAAAAACGACGACATGTCCCGGGAAAAGTGTGCGGAAGTCACCGGTCATTTTTCAGACGGCGCGGAAATAAGATGTCGAGAA